CAACTGCAATACCATTATATATAAAAATATCTTTACGTCAAAGATTTTTTAGTAAATTCTCGATAATCAATTACTATCGGCTTTTCAATTAATATAGCCTTGTTTTTTTTTTTTGTATATATAGCCATAGAGAATATATGTATTATGACTATCATTTTGAATTTCCGCGATCGTTATCGTTATCCTTACCATTACTCATAACATCCCCATATTAGTTTTGTAATATCATTTTGTATGATTGTTATAACTGTTCCGACCATTAATATAATTACCAGTACCATTCTTATGTATTAATATTTCGAATACTGTCACAGGTATCTATTTGATACCCGTTGTTATACTCATTGCTTTAACAATACTGTTAATATTTCCCCTGTCATCACCAAACTATCAGTAACATTACCATTACCCATAACATTACTGTATAATTTTTATAATTTTCGCGACCACCCTTACTCTTATTTGCATTATAATTAACATTACATTAACATTACCATTCTTGCATGTTGTCTTATTGAATACTGCTACCTCTATCATTTTGATTACCATTGGTATTTCCATTTTTGCCACTTTCATATTTCAATAGCTCCATTACTATTGCTGCTGTTATTACAATTACCAGCATTGATACCATTATCATTAACATTACTTATAACATTACCGTATAACATTTATAATTGGGATTACCAATACCAACATTATTACCATTAATACCATTACCATTACGCATAAAGTTACTATATAATTTTTATAATTGCCGCGACTATCCCTGACCTTATTTGCATTAGAATTACCATTCGTACATGTTGTATGGCGAATACTTCTACACTATCATTTTGATTACCATTGGTATTTAGCTCCTGTTATTACCATTACCGTGTAATTTTTATAATTATGATTACCATTACCATTATCATTACTTGTAACCCTACTTTATTATTTTTATAATTGTCATTACCATTACCTATAACATTACCGTATAATTTTTATAATTATGATGATACTGTACTGCTATTCAGTATTATTACAAACTGTTACTTTAGAACATTACTATTTCCATTCTCATTACAATCGCCTAGACCGTAGATATTATTTAGTAAGCCTAAGATTTTTTTTTAATATTCCTCTAAATCAACAAATAACAGCAGACTCATTCTAATCTAACCGTTTAGTCTTCTGAAAGGCCAAAAGGAGGCTAATCAAGTTTAAAAGTTTTTAAGAACTAGATAGTACAGAAATATTCAGACATATTGGTGTCTCTAAACTTATTTCTACTACTATACTTTCGTGCGAAATCCTCTGCAATTACCCTTCTAACGGGTACTCGGTTCCACTTTATCACTGGTTTTTACTACTTACTTTCTTCCTTCGGCGAAATTCAGTAGTCCACTTACAAGTCGAAATTGCTTTAATCTCGTAACTGTGTTTTACAATCCTGCTGCGCACGCTGTTTATAATAAGACAGGTGTAATAATTGAGTTAAGGTAACACCATTACCTGCCGGTGGCAGCGCAAACGGCAACAAAAATAACAACAGCTACAAACGTTTCGCGTAGAACCACAGAAGCAACGAAAACGAAACTACAATATAGCTCATATTCCGTTATTGCCCTTAGAGTACAACAATAAAATGTTGCGCTTACAAATGAAAGCATACGCACAGGCGCTGAATAACGTTGTTTCCTGCCATACCTCTGCTTATGCATACATACATATGTACATGTACATTAACGCACTTAAAACTGTTTTAATATGCGCGCTTATTTACGTGTGTAAGTTTACGTAGCTTGTGTGTTGCGTATGTGTGTGTTTATGCACCGAACGGGCGAGAAGTTCAAAGTTAAAAATAATCTCATCAAATTGCGCTTTTGCACATAACAAAAAGTTAGTTTCCAGGTCAAAGTGCGGATGTGGAAGGCATAAAAAAGTATATCGGGTAACGCCGTGGTGCATAAGTGTGCATGTTTATGTACTAATAAGTGTGGCAACACTGGCGTATTTAAACGTGAAGTTATAAACTGACAGGTTCGTCTTTGTAGTAGGCTTTGAAGTGTTATTATTTCCACCACGACACATTGATATTGTTGTTACTTTTGTTTAACGAAAATAAAAAAGTTTCAAATTACCAAATAACATATTTAACTTGTGACTTAATTTAGCATTATGGTTTGTTAAGTACAAATTAGATGTTTGAGGTCCTTTGTTTTCTTTTTGAAAATTTTGAAAACCACTTGAATGTTTAAGGCAATTAAATGAATCGAGTTTTGAAGCAGAATTAATGAGAGTATTAAAAATTCTTATAGTGAAAAAATGTCCACCAAAATATGTTATTTGTTTCAATGTTGTGCGGATGGCATTTTGTTCCTCAAACATGTAAATAATGTTAAAACTAATGCGGATATAGTACTTCGTAGCAATTCCTAAAATACTAGGTTTTCTTTTTTGGTGAGACTAAATTTCTGATGCTCGACCATACTTACTCTACTTCTACATTTAGCTGCTTCTCCCTCTTCTCTCTTATGTGTTTTGAAATTTTGGATTGAACCCGAAAAATTGTATGTTCTTTTTTTTTTTAACTGAGAATATCTATCGTAGTTTAAACAGACTCGATTGGTGGAAGCAGCATATTGATTGATCATGGTCAAAGCTATGGAAGTACTTATGGTGTGCAATCGGCTAGTTGGTAGATCCTAGGGCTGCATGCCTAGTATTGTCAGGTGGCTATGCAACATGTTTGTGAGACCGAAGCATCGCAGACTTCGGTAGGACTTCAACTATCGAAGCTCCTGGGTCCGCGTGTCAGGTGCCATGCGTACATGTCCGACAGCGGCACTTGCAGTCTTGAGGGATCTCACACTGCTTGATCTACAAGTAATTGGTAAAATTGCCAAACACATATTTCTCCGAATGACAGCAGAAGCACTGGCTCTTCTCACAAGGGACAATACTTCGAAAGGTGTAAATTTTGTTTTAAAATTGGTAAAACTTTTACCGAAACGTTTCAATTGTTGAAACAAGTTTATGGCGATGATGGCCTAACGTTTTCAATGTGGTTGTGGGGACATAAATGACGATCAACATGTAGGCCAATTAAAATTCCATCGAAACTGTGAATGAGTTCAACAAAAATCAGCCGAAATCATCATTGAAATTCGCGAAAATTAAATTGAACATCTCCAAAACATGGATTTATCGCATTTTGACGAAAAATTTGGGCTTACGAAAGGTGTGTGCACGGTTTGTTCCGCACAAATTGACTGACGACCAAAAATTGCTCAGAATTCAACATTCGATCGACGCTTGTGGCCGATTATTTGACCAAAAATCACTTTTTAGTCATTAACCCCTCCCGGTATTCACCTGATATGACTTCTTCCTGGTCGGAAAAATGCATTTTCCCATGAAAGGAAAGGGCTATGTGGACGTTGAGGCCATTCGAAAGGCTTGCACCGGTATACTGGCGGCCATACCGGATAATGAGCTAAAACACTCGTTCGACATGCTTTTGGACCGTGCAGAACGCTGTATTGAAGCAAATAGACCTTTGGTCGCGGATCAATCCTCATATAACTTGCTGACTACATGAAAATCAGCTTCGCTTAGAAGACTTTGCTAATTACCGAAAAACTCGAAAAGTATTAGTCTAATTTCATTAAAATTCTAAGACATTTCTACACACTTAATAAAAAAAAAAAAAATATTTTTAGAAAATTTTAGCTATGCCTATGCCCTTAAAGGTATGTTATACAAATTTTAGGAACACGCTGTAAAATTTTTGAAGAAAAAATCAAATATTTTTATTTATGCGACTATTAGAATATATTGTGCCTATAACCTATGATAAAAACCCAAAAAGTTAAAAAAAAAACGGCGCCGTTTTAACTCAATACTGACCGGAACTGTGTAATATTTTCTTACATTTTATAAGCGTGAAGAGAAACTCATTGTTCTTGTAAGTTCATAACTACACGAAACCCTAACTATCGGAGCAAAAAGCACTCCATTGTAGTGAATTTCCAACAGAGAGTTTTTATGTGTATATGTGTATATCCGTGCTAAAAAAAAACAAATAATTTAATTATATCCTCCTTAACAAAGCCACAAATAAAACTCTCCAAAAAAAA